GTGAGTTTTAGGTTCTAGTTATTTAAATAAGTGTGTTATATCTTATTTTAATGCTAGATTCAACCTCAAGTTAAGATAAGGGTGAGTAACATCTCTTAACACCAACTTGACTTGTTCCCCTTCCCAAAGAAATACCTTTTTTCCTGTCTCGAGCTGTCGAGTAATCGATTATCAGTAGTAGAAGTCGATTATCTATCCTTCGTAAAACACCCGCAGTCTTCAATAGTCGATTATCACTTTCAGATAATCGATTATCAGCTTTTCCCAGAAACCTGCAATTCTCAATAATCGATTGTCACTCCCCCATCAATCGATTATCGCCCTTCTCAGAGAATTCCCAGAAAACTACCCAGAACCTGAAGCCTTCAATAATCGATTATCCACTTAGGACAATCGATTATCTTCCTTTCCCTGCAAATAAAGAGTCTGAAACTATAAAACCCTGAGCTTAGATATAACACTTATCTTCCCCCTTTTGACATTATCAAAAAGATTGTTAACAACAAAAATCATAAAGATTTTTATTAATTAATTAAGGGAAATAGCGGAGTACATAACGAAAGCATATTAAAAGATGATAAAATGAGGAAGAGAAGAAAGTAGAGCTAGAGCTCTAGAAATCCGGGGAAAGATCATTGAGAAGTTGTTCTTCGTCAATGTCTTCTTCTTCTTCATCATCTTCATCACCATCGCCATCATCATCATCATCATCATCTTCTTCTTCTTCTTCTTCTCCTCCGTCTTCGTCCACCGCGTCGTCCCTACCAACGTTTTGAGTCCCACTATGTTCACCTCCGAAATTCGGTGGAGGAATTTAGGGGACCATTTGAGCGTACGGGTAATTGACAAAGTCAAAATACCCGTGAAGCTCACGGCTACAGATATTGACGTTGTGTGCCGTTTTGGAGACGTTGGTGTCAATCCGAGAGAGAGTAGCTGTCAAGGCTGCCATTTGCTCGGCGAGAGAAGGATTGGTCAAAGTGGTGGCAGTTGAGGCTATGGCTCTCGGTTGGCGGTGAGGACGAGGCTGCGGGAACGTAGCATCATCGGTTCTCGGGTGGAAGGAAGACTCGTCAATCTCCCAGTGCTTTGTCCCCTTTGTCTTAGGCCCAACATCGGTTTTGATGTTATAATCTTCAAGAATCGCCATGACGAGGAGGGCGTAGGGGAGCGACCGATTGTCGGAGGTGGCGGTGAACATGTGAGTCATCACAAATTTACACCAATTGAGATTGGCGTTGTGAATCATCGCATGAATTGTCTTCGTGTCCTCCTGGGAGAGAGTGGTGTGATTGAACTTCCTAGGATTGAGAATCCGTGTCAAAACATAAAAAATGAATCGAAACACGGGACTCGTGGAAGCAATCGTAGGGCTCCGCTGTTGGGGAGTAGGGACGAAGTGTCGGATGCCCACTTCCTCCAAGAGAGCGGTCTCATTGAACCGTGCTCTTTCTTCTCCGACGTAGAGCCCGAGATCCTGTCTGTCCCGACGAAGCCCGGTGAGGATTTGAATGTTTTCCTCATTCAAGTAAATGTCCACCCTGTTGACGTTAGAGATCAAAGCTCCGTCCTCAGCCTTTTTCAAGTTCGAGTAGAAGGCTCGAACAAGAAAGGAGTGATAATGAGCCTTCTTGATGTAGAGGAGGTCGAGGAAGTTTCCACGTTCGAGGATAACCTGTGCCTCACGTGGAATGGAGTCATGCATGAAGCAGGCGGTGGAGAATCGGGGAGGGAGAATTTCCCGGTGCTCAAACTTCTCCGAGAACCGCGTCGCCTCTGCGCGGTTGTTGAACCATAAGAAAGATCCGTCGAGGTATTGGTGCGCTGGTGGTGGAGGAGCCGAGGAGGAGGCGGCGTTCTTGCCGTTGCGGGAACGCTTTCTTTGACCTCCTGCCATTGCAACAAGAGAGGAGAGAGAGATTGCAGAAATTTTGAAAAAAAATGAAGAATAGGAGCAAGAATGATGAATTATGATGAATATATGGAGAAGAGATGATTGGAATGAGTAAAAATGGAGTAGATATCACCAATATATAGAGGAGGTGTAGAGATCCGTTGGGATGGTCAAACAAGGTTTAAATGCTCCTCCAACGTCTCTGCAACGGTCAGATTTTTGAAAAATCGTCGTTGATAATCGATTTACACTCCCTGTAAATCGATTATCTGAGTCTTCAAATTCTCCGCCAAAGAAACTGCAGGCTTCAATAATCAATTTCTGCCTGGTTGTAAATCGATTATTGTAGTTTGCGCCTGAGTTGCCTTTAACTTCTGCAGGCTTAAATAATCGATTATCTTATAGTTGATAATCTATTGTTGTTGGTTTGCGCCTGACTTTTGAGAAGGTTCTGCAGCCCCTGATAATCGATTATCTTAATGCTGATAATCGATTGTTGGCTCCTTCAGTTTCTTTGCTCCAACTTCTGCGGGCTGGGATAGTCGATTATCACAAGCCTGTAAATCGATTAATACACAGTCCATAAATCGATTTACTTTGTTCCCTTCTGACTTTGACACCTGAAAATAAAATTAAAATAAGAGCCCTGCAAAAAAAATTGAAAATGTCTCCGACGTTCAAGTTAGTAGGGATCAAAAATGATATTTAATGCAAAACTTAGATCATCGTGGAGTCAAGGATTCCGAGTTCACTACGAATGCGGAAGAACGACTCTTTCTCTAAAGGTTTTGTGAAAATGTCGGCTAATTGGTTGTGTGTTTCAACGAACTCAATTTTGACATCACCTTTGAGAACATGATCTCTAATGAAATGATGCCTAATGTCAATATGTTTCGTCCTTGAGTGAAGAACCGGATTCTTCGTCAAGCTTATGGCGCTAGTATTATCACATCGAAGAGGGACGTGATCGATACTAAGGCCATAATCCACAAGTTGTTGCTTCATCCAAAGGATTTGAGCACAACAACTACCAGCGGCAACATATTCCGCTTCGGTTGTGGATAACGCAACACTGACTTGCTTCTTGCTAAACCATGAGACTAAAGAACTACCAAGCAAGTGACACGTCCCACTCGTACTTTTACGGTCTAACCTACAACCGGCAAAGTTCGAGTCGGAATAGCCAAAAAGATGACAAGGAGACCCTTTGGGGTACCATAGTCCAACGTTCATTGTTCCAACAAGATATTTCATTATCCGTTTCACCGCCGTTAAGTGCAATTCTTTCGGACAAGATTGATACCTTGCACATAAACAAACGCTAAACATGATATCGGGTCTACTAGCGGTAAGATAAAGAAGGGATCCGATCATACCTCGATACTTCTTTACGTCTACTTCCTTACCCTTTTCATCTTTGTCCAGGTGCTCGGAGGTGCTCATTGGGGTAGCCATTGCCTTGGAGCCATCCATTTCAAATCTCTTTAGAAGCTTCTTGCAATACTTTGATTGAAAAATGAAGGTCCCTTCCCTCATTTGTTTGACTTGTAACCCCAAGAAGAAATTGAGTTCCCCCATCATGGACAACTCAAATTCATTTGTCATTAAGTTTGAAAATTCCTTGCATAAAGATTCATTAGTAGCACCGAATATAATGTCATCTACGTAAACTTGCACCAAGAGGATGTTATCGTTTTTACTCTTGATAAAAAGTGTAGTATCAACCTTCCCCCTTTTGAACCCGTTGTCCAAAAGAAATTTGCTCAAACGCTCATACCAAGCACGAGGTGCTTGTTTAAGACCGTAGAGTGCTTTCTTTAGTTTATAGACATACTCTGGGTGCTCAAAATCCTCAAAGCGCGGGGGTTGATCAACATACACTTCCTCTTGAATAAAACCATTGAGGAAGGCACTCTTAACATCCATTTGGTATAGCTTAAAATCCATAGATGAAGCAAAAGCGAGTAATAAGCGAATAGCTTCTAAACGTGCTACTGGTGCATAAGTTTCTTCAAAATCAATGCCTTCTTCTTGATTGTAGCCTTTAGCTACGAGCCTAGCTTTGTTTCTAGTGATTATACCATTTTCATCGAGTTTGTTACGGAACACCCATTTCGTACCAATTATGGTGTGATCATCGGGTCTTGGCACCAATTCCCAAACGTCATTTCGTTTGAATTGGTTAAGCTCCTCTTGCATTGCCAAGGTCCAATGTTCATCATCAATTGCTTCCGAAAAGGTTGTAGGTTCAATTTGAGAGACAAAAGCCATGTGACCTACTGTGTCCTCAAGAGGATGGTTCTTTGAAGTCCTCCATGCCCTTGGCATTGGCGTTTCCTCCTCTTGTGGTTGTTCCTCGTTTACGGGTGGCTCTACTTCTTCATCTTGGCTTTCCTTTGAGTTGTCTACTTCGTCATCGTCGTTGAGATAGATGTTTTCGAACGAATCTATAAGATCATCACAAGAAACCTTTCTCGCCAAGCGACCATCATTTTCGGCAAAGACAACATGAGAAGATTCCTCAACGGTTAAGGTGCGTTTGTTGAAGACTCTATAAGCCTTACTACGCAATGAATAACCAAGAAAAATTCCTTCATCCGACTTTGCATCAAATTTGCCCAAATTATCTTTTCGGTTATTGTGAACAAAACATTTGCAACCAAAGACTCGAAGATGGGAGAGGTTTGGCTTTCTTCCTTTGTATAGTTCGTATGGGGTTTTCATGAGTATCGGTCTAATGACGGCTCGGTTTAACACGTAGCACGCGGTACTCACGACATCCGCCCAAAAATACTTAGGAATTTTTGCCTCATCAAGCATAGTTCTAGCCATCTCCTCAAGGCAACGATTTTTACGTTCCACCACGCCATTTTGTTGTGGTGTACATGGAGCGGAGAAGTTATGCTCGATGCCTAGTTCGTCACAAAACTCGGTAAAGAGATCTCGTTCGAACTCTCCACCATGATCGCTTCGTATGGCTACGGTGATTAAGCCTTTTTTGTTTTGAACTTTTTTGAGAAAAGTTTTGAAAACATGAAATGCCTCACTTTTATGAGTTAGAAATAATGTCTATGTGAATCGAGAGTAGTCATCAACAATCACAAAGGCGAAATAGTTTCCCCCAAAACTTTTTGTTCTTGATGGTCCAAAGAGATCCATGTGCAAAAGTTGTAGGGGCCTTGTTGTAGACACAACATTCTTCGATTTAAATGAGGCCCTTACTTGCTTGCCCTTTTGACATGAATCACAAATGGTGTCCTTCTCAAACTTGAGTTTTGGAAGGCCAACTACTAGGTCTTGTGAAACCAATTTATTCAAAAGATTCATGTTGACATCAGCTACTCTACGATGCCATAGCCACATATCGTCCTCCTTACTCATGAGACATTTTGCAAAGTCGAAGGGAGATTCAACTAAGTTAACCATGTAAATGTTATCAATTCTATCACCACGAAGAATCGTCTTATCGTCACTAAGACGTTCTACCGTACATGATTTGGAATCGAAGGTCACACAATTTCCCTTGTCACACAATTGACTTATGCTCAAGAGATTGTGTTTAAGACCCTTAACCATCAAAACATTATCAATAGAGGAGTTTTCGTTTTTACCAACCGAACCAATGCCGATTATCTTGCCTTTGCTATTATCGCCAAAGACAACGTTTCCTCCTTTAGTTGGTTTCATTTGCAAAAACTTGGATGCATCTCCGGTCATGTGCTTGGAGCATCCGCTATCAAGGTACCAAAGTACACTTGATGCCTTCAAGCACACCTACAAAGCAATTTAAAAAGTTTTAGGTACCCAATTCCTTTTGGGTCCTTGGGTGTTAGGTGCACGTTGGTAGTGTGATTGGTTTTGAGTGCAATGCCTATGCCTAGTGAAACAAACCGGGGCTATATGTCCTACCCTATTGCAATAATTTTATATAACATTTGGATTATGCATTCTCCTAGGTTGATAATAGTTACTAGGTTTTCTATATTGCTTGGCCCTAGTTTGAGAAAAGTTTTGTTTATGCATATTTGGAAAATGGTTTCTAGATTTTCTAACTTGATCATTGTTTATCCTAGTGTTCTTTCTAGGTGGTCTAGTGTTCCTGGTTGATGTAGATTGTCTAGTATTGTTCATTTTAGTTTTCCTAGGTTGAGAATTAGGTTGTTTAGGTGGTTGCTCAACTTTTTCTTTATTATTGGTTTCATTTTCAAAACCTAAGCCATGATTAGTAAGTTGCAAATTGTCAAGAACATCATTAAGGTTTTTATGAGAAACACCAAACTTCTTTAAAGTTCCTTCAAGTTTTGCAACTTGATCCTTAAGTGATATACAAGAACTGCATTTTGAACTTTCCGGTTTGTCGGCACTTCTTTTTTCGAAAAACTTATTTTCTTCTTTAAGTTTTTCATTATCTTTTGATAGTTTATCAACTTCCTTTGTTTCTTCAAATCCTTGTTAATTTTAGAAGCGTTGACATATTCATCATAAAGTTCATTAAAGGCTTCTTGTACATCATCAAAAGTATAGGAATCTTTAGAAGTGGTACATACCTCTCCCGGTGGTTCCTCGTGTGCGATGAGGCAAAGGTTGGCGCTTTCATTTTCTTCGCCTTCCGATGACTCGTCGCTAGAATCACCTCCCCATGAGATGTAGGCTCGGTGTTTCTTGAACATTTTCTTCTCCTTCTCGTTTTTGGCATTTTGGCTTGATGTGCCCAACTTCTCCACACCCATAGCACTTGGGTGGTCCTCCATGCTTTTTTCCCTTTCGTTCATACTCTTTTCGCATGAACTTGTGGAACTTTTTCATGACGATCCCGAACTCGTTGTCCTCATCGCTTGATTCTTCCATGGCAGGTTCTTGGCTTGAGGTAGCCTTGAGTGCAATCCCCTTCTTCTTTTGTTCACCTAAAGAAGGGAATAGAATGGTGGACTCATAGGTTTTGAGGTTACCTCTAAGTCCGTCAATGGTGACGTTGGTGATGCCGATGGACTCTTGAATGGCATCGGCTTTGGAGCGCCACTCCGGTGTGAGACTTCGCAGGATTTTTCTCACAAGCTCCTTGTCCGTGTACGTCTTCTTGAGAGCATGAAGATCATTGACGATTTTGGATAATCGTTCAAACATCTCATTGATTTTCTCGTTTTCCTTCATACAAAACAATTCATATTCATGGGTTAGAAAATCAATTTTAGCTTCTCCGACTTGATCCGTACCTTCGTAGGTGATTTCTAGTTTGTCCCACATTTCCTTTGCGGTGGTGCAAAAAGAAATCTTTCGGTAGTCATCCGGGTTAACGGCACAATAGATGATGTTGATGGCCTTGGCATTGTTTTCCACCTTCTTGATGTCTTGTGCATCATATTCATCCTCGGTCTTAGGGACGTTGGTTTCCTCGACCTTCTTCATTGGCACGTCCTCACCATTTTTTATAATTTTCCAAAGGAGAAAGTTGGTGGATTGGATGTAAATCCTCATCAGCTCCTTCCAATAGGTGAAGTTTGTTCCATCAAACAATGGAGGCCTCGTGGTGGATTGCCCTTCACCTAAACCTGCGTATGAACTTTGAGTAGAAGCCATTGATCGTTTCTCTCAAACGGTTAAGTCTTTCAGAGAGTATGGCTCCGATACCAATTGTTAGAATAAAGGCCCAACGCTAGAGGGGGGGTGAATAGCGTTTAAAACAAAATCGCAGGAAATTAAAAACGAGAGCGTTAATGTAAAGAGCGTAAGGAAGGAGCACACCGAATTTTATCCTGGTTCACCACAACGTGTGGCTAATCCAGCCCCCCGAGAGACTCTCTCGAGCTACACTAACTCCGTTAAGCTTAAGGGTGCTTAACAAACCGATACAACTTGAGAACCCGAGTCACACGAGCCTCAACACCTTTGCTTAGAGATACCGCACTCCAAGACTTCTCACGAAGGAACAAGGAACTTCCTTCGAGTTTATAACAAGGGAACAACCTCCCTTAAAGTGTATGAAAACACTTAACCACTCAGGAATAAAACTCTCACAAAGAGTAGATATGAGTGAACTAGTAAACGCTCAAGAACACGACAATTTCTTCAAGAATTGGCTCTCAAATAGCTAAGAAAACATAGGAATGCTTATGCAATGAAAGAGTATTGAAATGTTGAAGAATTGTGTATGAAATGAGAGGATTTGGGTGCAATTTTATAGCCCAAAATGGGATAAACCCGTTGCTAGAATTTCCAACAGGATGAAGACAAATTTTTCAGGGACACAGGCTGATAGTCGATTATCCAAGCTTGATAATCGATTATCACAAGATTCCTTGTCCAAAAATTTAAAATTCTATCCGTTGGAGGACAACGGTAATCCAGATAATCGATTGTCAACAAGTGATAATCGATTATTGGTCCTCTCAAAAGAATCTGGGTTTTGGCTGCAAAGACTGATAATCGATTATTGCGTGTTTCAGAACTTTGGGAGTTCAAAGCTGCAGGGGCTGATAGTTGATTGTCGCTAAGGTGATAATCGATTATCACCCAGCTAAAGTCTAGCCAGCTGAAACCCGTTTTGAAATACCGAGGTCCAAAAACGAAGTGTTCCCAAAAGTAAAAACCAGGTTTGGAAAATATTTTATATGGTATAAAATAGTGAAAACAAGTCTTGTTTGGTAAAAACCAAGTCTCCAAAGTCGTATAATACGTGCGTACGGTTTTGACCGTTTTTCACGTGTTAGACCGATTGACCAAGATACAAAAGTGGTTTTTATAAAATAATTATTTGGGAACATTTTAAAAATGCTCAGAGGTAAAAACAGGGCTTAAAATATTGAAAACCACGGAGTTGGTTCGGGCGCCAAGAACCGAACGCCAAACGCTGAAAGCCGAACGCCGACTTAGGTGGTTTCGGTTCCGAGTAAGGACCAGGGATTTTAACAATGAAAGAAATCATCAAAGATGTTGGTTTTGATGCACAAAAAATATTTTATGATTTGTAAAAATTGTTTTGACCTTTTTTTGAGAACCGAGACTTGAATTTATTGTCGGTTTTGATCACAAAAGACCAACTCGACTAAGTCTTCAATTCTTGATCTTGTCCTTGAGTCTTTTAGGTCTTGTTCCAAGCCATTCTTCACGCCTTGAGTTATTCAACGAAACTCTTTATATCCACGGTGGTTTGGCAATTATCAAAACCTGTCAGAAATGAACACGACTTTAGTTTATCGTACAAAGTGTGTTCTAACACAAATCTCTCATCTACAAAAGCAAAGACAACAAACAAAATAACTCTTGCCCCCAAAACTGGTGCGGCAAGCAAAACCTCAAAAACTAACAAATAAAACTTTTGAATTTATTTAATTATTTTAGTTATTTGAATGACGGGTTGCCTCCCGTTAAGCGCTTCTTTAACGTCCGTAGCTCGACGCTCACCCACTTTTTCCGCGACTTCCCGATCCGAGAGTCATAAAGTTTGGCCCTTCTGACTCTCTTCTGGTTCCACCTTGTTTGATTTGTTGCCCGGTCAAGGTCCAAGATCCTTGACTCGTCCCTGCAGCTTGGCGGCAACAGGATAAAAGGAGGAGACTCTAGATAGGTGGGTGGTGGCGGAAGTCTCCTCAGTTGATCCACATCATTAGCCTTAATTGCGAAATTGATTTCTTCCTTATCTTCAATCGGCTGACTATCCATTTGTGGTTTGATGATTACGACCATGCTTTCCCCCATGGAAGAGTCTTCAGTGTCACTCATCAGAAGTTCATCCCAACTCCTTAAGCTCCAACCATCCTTCGGGCAGACATCGTCACACCCGTCAAGTAGGGAGTCAAAGAAGGTTTGGTCTGAGTCTTCAGATGAAGCATTACGTACATAGGTTTCTATAGACAGAGTTGGCTTTTCTATGCAAAGTATTTCCTCGCTTGTAGATTCCTGCTCGGACTCTTGGACATTGGTATCTTGGAGGCATGTAATGGGCTCTATGTCCTCCAGAACAGGTTCCTCTGGAGGTGTGCCTTCAACACAATTAAGGAGATGGTCGTTTATTGCCATAGCTTCCTCCTCCTTCTTTTCTTGAATAAGCCTAGGTGGTTTTGAGTCAGGTCCCTCAGTTGGTTCCACCTCTTGTACGACTATGCTGGTTGAGACTTGGCTAGGAGGACATTCAGGTAACATCACCACAGTAGCCCTAGCGAGAGTTGTTATGCTCTCGGGTTTCTGTGATGGTGAAAAACTGGGTGAATCTTCTAGATTTGGAACCTGATGGTTGAATGGTTTAGGGTTGGTCTTAGGTTCTAGAGCCTCGTTTTGAGCATTAACCTCCCTCATTTGATCTTGAGATTGGAGGGAGCGTTTAAGCTCAATAGCCCTACAGAGATCATTGACTAATTTTTCAGCCTTAGCCTCAACTTCTAGTCTCTCTCTTTGGAAGTCATCCAGCATTTTCTGAATCATATCTGATATTTGGCATAATCTCCTTTCGAACTCCTTTTCCTTCCGGACTGATTCGAGAAGTTTTGCTCTTTCTCGAATTGCCACCTTGTTTGCTTCGATTTGTTCTTCAGCAAACAGGGTGTAGTCACGGCAGTAGGATGGTTCATACCAGGAGCCTTCAGCGGAAAAAAGTTCGTCGAAATAGAAGATTTTCTGTTCTAATCTTCGAATTTCTTCGACGAGCGGATCAGGTTGATCGTCGTATATAGGCCCATTGCAGTTATAGTCATCGTGATCACCATGAGGTTCATAATAGTCTTCCCCATCAGAGTCTTGGTACGGAGAATATCCAAAGTTCTCAGATGGGGTATCATATGGTGGTTCCTCATGGTAGGGATGGTAGTCAGACCCATTGTTGACTTGGTAGTCATTGTCGTATGGGTTCTGATGCGGGTGGTAACGTGGATGGGTTTGAAACGGAGGGCGGTAGGGTGATTCGTAGTAAGAAGGCGGGCCGTAATAACCACTGGAGTTATCCATAATAATTATTACGGGTGGCTGGTGAAAAAGAAGTGAGAAGATCGTTCTAACCAATCTTCACCCAAGCTAATCAGAAGAAATTAAACTAATGCCATGCAACTCCCCGCCAACGGCGCCATTTGACAATTGTAGTTTTTCGAGTAGCAAACCTTCCCAGTAAAGGGTTAGTTTTCTCTCCGAGTGTCGTGTCTCTCGAGGAGTGGACGAAGGGAATCAATTTAATTACTCTAACTAGACGAAGGTTAGGATTGGTTTATGAAAGTCTTCTCGAAACGATTATAAAAAGAGCAGAGTAAAAATAATAAATTAATTTTACATAGTATAAGTGCAGATCTGGACCTAGGGTCTGGACATTATTTGGATTTATTTTATCATATTAAATCAAAAATTGGAATAATAATATTTCTATTACTACTCATCCATTTCTAGATTTGTACTTAATCCGTTGTTCTTGAATATCGTAGCCTTTTGGCGTACAATATTTTCTCAATAAATAGCTAATTAAATCTTTCGAGAATAATTAACTAAATAAGGCAAGAACAATTGACTAACCATTCCAACATTAATTTAACATAAAAAATAAACAACCAAACTAGTCCGGACCCAGAGATCCGGACCCTAACTCATACTATGCAAACACAAATTAAAACAACATTTTATTAAATAAAGAAAACTTACTACTTCCGTAAAAGCGGAACAGAACAGATCGGGAGTCAAATCCTCCGGAAAATACTTAAAAATAATAACTAAACTAATATACAATGAAATATTGACTAAAATAGTGGAGAAACCCGAAATGGGTTGTGAGATGGTTGATAAAAATGAGAAGAACCGTGCTGTATTTATAGGAATGAATCCAAGGCGTCCAAGTGCAAGCGTCCAAGTCTAAGCGTCCAGAGCTGGACGCCTGAGCTGTCCCGGCCAACCAGATTTTGCCACGTGTCATTCTTGGGCTGCAATTAAGCCAAAGCGTTTAACTCCCAAGCGTCCAAGTTGGATGCCTTGAGGCCTTGGTCCGTTGGGCTTCATAGCTGTTTTGTGATTTTGGCCCAATTTCGCTCCGTTTGGGTCCCGAATACCGTTTTTGACCTCTCGGAAGCTCGTTCAAGCCCGAATCTTGATCCCTTGATGATTTATTCCCTTTTTCTCAAGTATTTGAACATAAAATGGATGATTTATGATAATTTCATGTGGAATCCCTTTTCATGACTCTTAGAACGAAAATGAGAGTTTATTCATTAAAAACACATTTTATGAGATGATTAAATACTATTTACGTGCAATAACGTTTAGAATATGATGTAAATGATAAGAACGAAACGGACTTATCACAAAGGAATGTTGTGTGACTGAAATTAGGACTAAAATGACTTGTTTTTATGTATGAAATTCGGCCCTAAGGGATCAAGACAAAGGAGACAAAGTTTGGCTTGACTTTAAGTGAATAATAGGACAAGAAGTTACTATTCAATCAAAGACTTCTTTTGCTTATTTTTGTCCCTTTGTTGTGTGTGATTATTTAGGCCTGATTTTGGGAAGAAAATAGTAGGGAATTTTGTGGGAAAGGTGTAGGAAAATAAGGGGAAGGTCTTATTTAATGAAAGGAACAAAAGAAGTAGAAAATAACACACAAGGATTGCCTTTTTGGTCCTCATTTTCATCCAAGGCTAAAAAAGGAGGGAAAAGACTTTATTTTGATTATCAAATGAAGATTAAAGGCTTTTTGGATATTTTGGGAGATGTTGGGTTTTAGTGGAGCCATCCAGGGGTACAACATACTCCCCTTCTTCGAAGAAAGTTTGTCCTCAAACTTTCACACCACCGTGAAAGATTGGGGATTCATATAAGAATTCCCAGATCAAATGGGAAATTCAATGAACCACCAATAATGAGGCTCCTTCCGGAATTAGTGGACACCTCGTTGTGTAATTTCCGGAACATGATGCCATTCCTTGTAAGAACCTGCTTCAAACATACCTCAGAGATGAGATAAGATTTTCCCTCACCGAAAAGAGGATAATACTCCATGGAAATCACTTCCTTAGAATATATATCTTCCGGTGTGGCTTCCTCTATAACTACCTCATCAACGTAGTCATCATGAATAAGGAAAGAATCATTATAGTGTGATTCTTCCTGAGCATTAGAAGCTAGTTCTTCTACGAAGACGTCATCTTCATTTTTGACAAGAATATCAAAGACGTCTTCCTCAATGACAGCTTGGTCACATGAGCTTCTCTTTTCCTTCTCATGAATCATGACCCACTCTTCATATGGTATGACATACTTATTTAAACATTCCCAATGGCCATGACCACAACCACCACACATGAAACACCGCCGAGTGGCCCATTGTAATATTGCTCCATTTGCAAGGATGATTTCCAGATTTCGGAGGTGTCTTTTAGAGACCATATCTCACAAACCGGAGATCGGAATTAGGTAATTCCAACTCTCACAGCTAGATATTGATGTCCATAAAGACATATAAAAAATTTAGAGCCACTAAAGAACGTTTGCTACCTCTTTGGAGACAAATCCAGCAAGGTAGACAGAATTCGCCCAGGATTGTGTTATCAACTTCGGGAGGGCGTATCTCACAAACCACAACTCGGATTTGAGTGAAATCAGCGCCCACGTGTAGCAAAAACGTCAAACTTTCATACTGGAAAATTTCGCTTCAAAATATATTGTGTAACTTCCTCCGTGCTCAATTGTTTGGAGCTGAATGTTTCAGGAAAAAAAATTTCAGCAACCTTGTTTCGGGTAACGTTTGTGAAGCTGGTCCTCAAGGTGATCGTCGAGACTTAAGGAAGTCTTCGAATATAGCTCTGATACCAAATGTTGTACCCGAGACCCTGGGTCTCGGGTACAACACTCATGCTCTGCTTTCTTTGCTCCTTGTTCCCGGATATGGTCGAGTATTTCCTCCACCTGCCACTGCTGAGTGAGAAGGAGCGTCTCTTTGCTCCTCAAACGAGAATCCACAGAATCCTAGAATGCGAACATAGCCTTAGAAAGCTCGCGAAGAGACATAGGAATGGTGTGCTGCCGTCTTGGATGTGCCTCCTTGTCTTCCTTATTATTGGCAATCAGGGCTAAATACCCTATCGGTGGTCGGAACATGCTCGCAGCTTCTGGAAGAACATCGGTAACTGCCATACGTAATCCTCGGGCCAGGAGTGTAACCATTGGCCCACACGAAACAAACTGACGATCGCAAGTAGACTGAGCAAACAAAAAGCAAGCCACAAAGGTCGCTAAATTAACTGGTACGCGTGTTTCCAAACTCTAGAAAAATAGCATATCAGACTCAAACACCACGTCAGGTTCGTGAGAACAGCCGAAAAAGCTATGAGCCAATGCATGGTGCAAAGTTCTCCAAGACGGACGCGCCCAATTCATAGCCAAGCTTGCTCCACTGTGAAATTGTCCATGCCCGTGAGCTTGCCAAAACTTCTTAACATTGAATTCTGGGTCCAACTGGTCGGGCAGATTGGCAAAGGCCAGGCTCCGAGTTTCATCAAGCATGTATAGACCGATCAAACACCCTAAGTCCGGCACAGTTAGGTTCAACAGTCGACCCATCAGAGTGAATGTGACCTTTGTAGTGGAGGTGACTTCGACTACTGACTTTGCCTCTTCTCCATTGTTGAGGAAGCGGAGAGAACAGAGAAACTCAATGGTGGCTTCCAAGCTGGTTGGTGCATGCAAGAATAGTAGGATTCTCCATTTTGGGTCGTACAGCAAGTCATCAATGTCCTGCCAATGCCCTAGTTCGTCCAGATAAGCAGGGTCTAACACCATGGGAGGCTGGAGCATCTTAGTGTTTCCCCAAGTGAGAAACTTCTTGATATATCCCAGAGCACCACAAATCACCCTCAAGTCCTTAAGGAAATCAGTGGAATAATGTCCAAGTGTTATGACCCCCTCTGGAATGAAATCATCATCAAACCATGCACCCTAACCATACTTACCCTCAACCCATCACCACATTAATAACCAATCCCAGCACTTCACAATCCATTCCCAGGAATCCAAAGAAAACCAAGCCACAATTTCCCTTTCTTCCTATTTTACAATGCCGAAAATAAGTGTCCAAAAACACACCCAGCATGGTCCCCATTATGTTCCCCAATACACTCAAATTATAAACCAAAATGCCTAGGGATATTTTCCTTCACAATAATACATCCAATCCCCACAACAAACCTACAACAAAAGTCCAAATGACACACCCCACACACACCCCTTTGTCTCCCCACCCTGACCAAATTCAAATTCCCCCAAAACCTCCACAAATACCCAGCCAAATGTACCACTTCATCTTACCCCCACCCCTTGGCCCTCAACCTCAGCCCT